ATCAGCTTGAGCTTAGGTGGTTTGCGCAGCCCCTTCTGTACTCAAGGCGTGATCAGGAAAAGGTAGCGCCTTTTGTTGTGGCATATAGGTCTAAGGGTACAAAAGTAAATCAAAAAAAATGCCGTATTGTTCTTCGCAGCCATAAGCCGCTGGAATTCATTCGAACACTGTGGCAACAGCCAAGGTTGCCCGTCGACCGTTCAAATTTTCAACGAAACCCACAGATTGCAGCCACTTGTCATCTCAGAAGGCAAGTACGTGGCAAGGTATCTTTGAGGCAAAGCATGGTTCCCATGCTCTGCTTTGCATCATGGCCGGGGTCTCATTGCGGACACGTCCAGGCGAACCTTTGCAAATCACTGTGTTGCAGCCCATTGCCTCAACGAGCTTAACCCTTGCTCCGGACAAGGCCTCCTGGTTTCTGGGGTCACAACAGCAATCCTGCAGTTACATTGGTAGGGTTGTGTTAGCAGATGCGGGACATGAGATTTGAATGGCGCATGTCTTTCAAACCAGAGTGTGCCATTGTGGGACTATTTGCTAGCATGGCATAGCAGCGGTGCAGAATCATATGTTGAGCCTTTCTTCCAAGCCTTTGCAGGATACGTATGAGGTGTGCTTCCCTCAGAGCAGCGACTCGCGGATGGACTTGCAGATCACAGAAGTGGCAGGCAAGCATTCACGGAAAACATTGTTGCATATGGTTGATTTGCTTGGCAAAGTCAGCGTAGTATTGCGACTGAACCATCCAGTCCCTGTGTCTCCATCGACATCGCCACCAGTGCGCAGTCGTCCTCGTCCGCGCACCGGGCAAGCGACTGTCCCACCAGATGATGCAGCACTTTCTCCCCCTGTGCAGCCCCGGCTGCAAGACAACGTTGTGAAAATTTTCAAGCCCTCATGTTGGTATACGAGTGGCGCAGACACGCAGACACGGAATATGAACTGCACTGCTTGGGGTTTGATCCATCAGGTTTCCTGCCCGGGCGCAGCCAATCAAGCCACAAGTTTCTGAAGAAAAGGCGGGCAATAATGTGATGGAGCCTCATTGGTCAATACCACATTCGCAGCGGCAGTATGTGAGACCCAATGTTTTGGGAACAAACGTCCGCACTTGTTTGCGGTAAGCCCTAGTAGGCTGTGCACTACGACCTGTGCGAAAGAGAGGACCTGGCCAAATTCCTGGTGGATGCCGACATTCGACTGGTGCGCTTTTGTTTGTCAACTGTGCATGCTGTGTATTTGCACTCAATTAGACATCACTTCATAAGGAAGATGCGCAGAAATGAGACCCAGCTGTCCACATGTAGTTTTTGCAAGGTGAGGGCCCCGTTTCTGAAGAAGCTGAACGACTTGAGGGCACGGCTGCCGCGCAGGCAAGAAGCTGAGGCGGCGTATGTCGGAAGCCAGACAGCCCTGGTTACTCACGAGGAAGTGGAGGCCTGGGCAACACATGAAGCGCAGGAGGAGCCGCGCATTGTCGCCTTATCACATTGTTGGGAAGCCAGAGAGCACCCAGATCCATATGGTTACCAGCTGAGTAAGCTTGCCCCTGCCCTCCATCTTGGAGACTGGGTGTTCGTGGATTACACGTCCCTATACCAGTTTGAGCGCCTCAGCATCAAAGAGGAACTGAGTTTTCGGCGTGCCATGCGCAACATGCATGTGCTTTACGCGCATGAGTGCAGTCGAACTCTTCGAATCGGGACGCTGACCCCAGAAGAGCTGCGACGTGAAGGGTCCTCCCAACCAATCCTGATCTATCACAAGCCTGACGAAGGTCCCGGCCAGCTTCGAGAGGTTCCCGCGAGTAGCCTGACAGAAAACAGAACGGAATACCCCGAGCGTGGATGGTGCCAAGCGGAGATGCAGTGGTCCAGCTCGCGCCGCGCTTCGGACCTTTCTTGGGAGGTGGACAGTACAGAGGCTGATGCAGCCGGGCTCGCCCCGATGGCCCCGGACATCTTCCGCGCCCGCATGAAGCACACGCTGAAGTTCACACATCGTAGCGACGAAGAGGCCAGAACAAAGCGCAAGTGAAGGTAAGCTTGATGTTCTTTTGCACAGACAATAGCAGATTTGCAAAGGCCAATGTCCCATGATTGCTGGGACGCCTGCTGAGCCCACTGTGAGAGCCTTGAGTGCTGAGGCCGTGTTCCAGCTGCAGGCGCAAGTCTTTCGGGAGAAGTGCCAAGGTCACCAGGCCTTGCAGCTGGTCCGCCTCAACGCTTTTGAGCTGGATGTAGCCTTACAAGCCTTGGAGCATTATCCCAAGCTTCGGAAGCCTGGTCGGCAGGTAGATTGATTTGTCCTGTAGAGGCTGAAATTCTGCAATTCTGTTGCACTTCGTAATGAAGATGGAGAAGGATTATGGCCGTGCTTGCATCCTAAGCGCTGTATTCGTGTTCTCACAGAAGTCGAGACATTTATTCTTTGTTGCACGCTGATCCAAGGAGCCTGGAGATCCTGAATTCCCCGCTCCCCGCCCAACTTGCGCTGGTGCTGGAAGCGGGCATGGGGTTGGCTAATGTGTCTGTGGTGTTATTGCCAATGACTACTCTTCCATGTGCTTCCATTATCACTGCAATGATACTTGTGGTACGTAATCGAACATGTGCAACCATCTACTGTGGGGTTAGTGTCTCTTGGTAGCTAACAAGCAGCCAGACGGACATGTTAGATGAGGAGGCATATTGCTATTATTCGTATTATCAATATGACTGCCATTATTACTATTGCTGTTATTATTATAGCGATTATTACTATTACTACTATTATGGTTGGACTAAGGGCTGAGCAAATCAGCCGTAATGCAGGCTGTCCAGAACAAGCCCACTCTGAGAGTGCTGACACTGTGCGGGACTGGTTTGGGCGACGAGGAAGCCGTACAGATGGCAGAGGCAAGCTTTTTTGAAGAGTGATTTTCGATTCTCGAACTTTCGCGGCTAGGGCATCTAGGGCACAGATCCTTCTAGATCACTTGCTCTTTGCTAAATGACAGCACAGCCCAAGAGTTTTCAAAAGACGTTAGATTTCAACCCATGGCCAAGCTGGATCAACTGACGGACTGAGGCCCTGGCTGCGAGCAGCCTTGAAAGCCTGAGACTTCCACAGAACAGGATCGGGCCGCGGGGTGCTGCAGCCCTTGAGGCCAGGTGCTTTTGGGTTGAGCTCTGGCATTTTTTTGCACCGTGCCGAAGCAGACCCTGAGGCGCTGGTGCAGAAGCTGAACCAGTTGGACCTGACGGGAAACAGCATTTGTCATATGGCCTTGAAGTTTGCAAAACGCATCGTGGCCCGCAAGGCGCGGGGAGCATTAATTGTTTATCCCTGAACTTGCTGTGGACATCCTCTGCAAGGTCAAGTCCCGCTGTCTGATGGCAGGTCAGCTGCGACGTTACGCATGAAGCCGTGGAACTGCTGGTCCGAAGCACTCAGGCAACCCGCTTAGGAGCATGTCATCAGCCAAGTTTTAGGAAACTTCCTACACGCTTGGGTCAACGTTGAGGGCATGGACGAAGACTTGGAGGACCTCACTGTGCTCAGCTTGCGTCTAGACAGTTCTGGGCTGAGATGTGAGCTCAAGCTGTTCGTGTGCGGAACCCGCTGCCCCGCGTTCTGCCATAGGTACGGGTGACCTTGCGTCGGCCGTTCCGTTCTTTAACGAGCTTCAGAGCCTCACGCTGCAGATGCCCAGCCGATGCCTTAGACCAAAGCGAGCGATTCGGTAGATGCTGTGGCAAACATTGGTCATGTGGGGCTTGCAAGTGACTGAATATCTTCGCCTTGGGACTGCGGCAGGTTGCGACGACTGTGCTGCCACAGCCGAAGAGCTTGCCAAGCTCCAACAGCTTCACAGTCTCAGCTTGCAGCTAGGACCCTGCGACATTGGATCCGAAGGCAGTCGAAGGCTGACTGAGGGGTTGGAGAAGCTTCAGCACTTGGGAAGCCTGAGCTTGAAGCTGGAGAGCAACAAGATTGGGCCCGAGGGCAGCCGAAGCTTGGGGGAGGTGCTGACAAAGCTCCCGCAACTCAGCAAGCTGAAATTAGAGCTGCGCTCCAACAACGTCGGGTATGACGGCGCTGCAAGCTTGGGCCACAGCCTAGGGCACCTCAAAAAACTCGTCAGCCTGAGCATTGACTTGAGCGACAATGACGTTGGAGATGCCGGCGTGCAGTGCTTGGGTGAAAAGCTAGGGAAGCTTCCATACCTCAGCAGCTTCTACTTGAAGGTTCAATCCAACAACATTGGACCTGAGGGTGGCAGAAGTATGGGCCAGGGGTTCGAGAAGCTCTGGCTCCTCAACAGCCTTTGTGTGGACTTGGGCTTCAACGATGTTGGGCCCGAGGGAGGTCGAAGCTTGGGTGATAGCTTAGGAAGGCTTCAGCAGCTAAGCAGCTTAAGTTTGAAGCTGGCTTCCAACAACATCGGACCTGAAGGGGCCAGAAGCTTGGGCACAAGTCTGGGAAAGCTCCAGAAACTTAGCACCCTGGAGCTGGGGCTGAGATCCAACAACGTTGGACCTGACGGGGGTCGAAGCTTGGGTGAGGCCTTGGGAAAGCTTAAGCAACTTAGCAGCCTCACCCTAGACTTCAGCAAGAATTTCGTTGGAGATGCAGGAGGCGAAAGCTTGGGAGCTGGGCTGGAGAATCTCCCACGCCTGGAGAGCTTGGACATGGACTTGAGTTACAGTTGTTTGTCAGCTGCGGGTGGCCTGCGCTTGGCATGGGGTCTGGGAACGTTGAAGCGAATCAGCAGCCTTTGCCTGAACTGGAACAACAACAAATTGGGTAAAGCAGGTGGTCGAAGCTTGGGAGAGGCATTGGGAAAGCTTCAGCATCTCAGCAGCCTCACTCTCAAAGTGTCATGCAATGGTATCCAGCACGAAGGTGGTCAAAGCTTGGGCGAAGGGCTGGGGAAGATCTGGCAACTCACCGCCCTCAGCTTAGACTTGGAATGGAATGAGTTGGGGGCTAAAGGCTGCCACAGCTTAGCGGCGGGGCTGTCAAAGCTCCAGCAGCTCAGTTGCCTTGAGCTGAATTTAAGCAACAACAGCAGCGATAGCCCAGGGCATTGCTTGGGCCAGCTCCAGCAACTCAACAGCTTGATCTTGGACTTCAGCAACAACTTCATGGTTGACGACCTGGCGTTGCTGGGAAAGCTGAGGAACATTCACCACGTCAGCTTGAACTTCAGCAACACTTCGCTCCATCGAAGCTTACGGAGCTTAGGAGAGGGTTTGGCGCAGCTACAGCGCCTCAGCAGCCTCAACTTGAAGTTATACGAAGAGGGTGTTAGGCCTGAAGATGGTGAGAGAAGCTTGGGGGAAGGACTGGTGAAGCTTCTGCAGCTCAACAGCCTTAGCGTAGACTTGAGTCTTTTGAAGCCGTATGGAAAGGGAAGCATTTGCAGCTTGCTGGAGGGCCTGCACCAGCTAGCACGGCTCAGCGATCTCACCCTGGATTTGCGAGGCAGCGGAATCGGGGACCACGGCGGCCGCAGCTTAGGGGGAGGTTTGAGGGAACTTCGGCAACTAAACAGCCTCAGTCTGAAGTTGAGCTCGAGCAGTATTCGGCCTGAAGGTGGTAGAAGTCTCGGGGAAGGGCTGGGAAAGCTCCAGCAGGTTAGCAGTCTGACATTGGACTTGGCAGACAACAGCATTGGACCTGAAGGCGGCCGCAGCCTCGGCGAAGGCTTGGGGAAGCTTCGGCAGCTCAAAAGCCTGAGCTTGGACTTGCGTGACAACAAGATCGGGGATGAGCGCGTCGGAAGCCTTGGCAAAGAGCTAGGGAAGCTGCAGCATTTGGGTCGTCTCAGCTTGGACATTAGTGGAAATCTTGTTGGTGATGGTGGTTGCCAAAGCTTGGGACAAGGCCTAGGAGATCTCCGGCATCTCGTAAGCCTCTCCTTGGTCTTGAAAGCAAACGACATCGGAGCTTGCAATGGCTTAGGAGAAGGCTTGGGACGGCTCCAGCAACTCCGCAGCTTCAGCTTGGATTTGGGAGCCAACAAGTTTGGGCCAAATGGCATTCGAAGCCTGCATGAAGGAATGGGACAGCTGCACCAGCTAAGCAGCCTCAGCCTGAACGTGACGACCTCTCATTTCCTGGATAAGGAGACTGGCCTTAACTTGGGAGAGGCGCTGGGCAAGCTCCAGCAACTGAACAGCCTGAACTTGGACCTAACCACTGCCTACCTTCATGCAGCCCGTTCTATGCACGAAGGGGTGCGGCATCTCGAGCAGCTGGGCAGCCTCAAGCTTAAGGTGGACAGCTTTGTGAATTCCGAAGACACGTGCAAGTTCGGGGAGTGCTTCGAGCAACTTCAGAGGCTCACGGATTTCAGCTTGGAGTTCAAGGGGTTCGCACAAAGCGTGGAGTCCGCACAGTTGCAAAATCTGGGGTTGTCCTTACGGAAGCTCACATGCCTCCGCAGCTTCAGCTTGACCTTTCCCAAGAACAGCAATTTCACGAAAGGTGGCCAAGGCCTCGGAGAGGGCTTGGGATATCTTCAGCAACTCTGCAGCCTCAGCTTGGACTTGAGTTCCACCGAACTTGAGGACAAGGAAGGCATCCGCAGCTTGGGGGAGGGCTTGCAGAAGCTTCAGCAACTCAGCAGCCTCAGCGTAGCTTTGAGGTCCACGAAGCTTGGGGATAAAGGCAGCCGGAACTTCTTTGAAGGGCTTGGAAAGCTGCAGCAACTCAGCAGCCTCAGCCTGGATCTGGGCTCCAATGATATTAGCGACGAAGGCGTCCGACCCGTGCGCGATGGATTGGGAAAGCTCCCGCTGATCAGCCTGAACTTGGACGTATCGGCCAACCGCATAAAGCTTGAGGGCTGCCAAGGCTTGGCGGAGGGCCTATCACAGATCCAAGAGCTGAGGTGGCTCGGCTTGAAGATGACCTCAAACAAGATTGGGGACGAAGGTGGTCGGAATTTGGGTGAGGGACTGGCAAAGCTTCAGCATCTCAGCAGCGCCACCATATGCCTGAAGTACACCAACATGTCCAGTGAAGGCTGGGAAACCCGCAAGAGTGCTGTCATGTGTGTGCACATGCATGCAGTCTGCGTCAGGCCAGTCAAGGTTTTGGCGGCTTTTCCGGCGTGAGGACAGTTGAGGGCAATGCTTGTCTCACAACATTGTAGTGCCGGACTTCAAAGAAGCCACGACGGCCCCTGCCATGGGCAGAAGCATCTCACCACTTTCGACACTGAGTTGACGTGGCTGTGTCAGCCCTGGAAAGGTGGGCAAAATCGAAATTTCGATTGTTAAGACAGGCACAGCTGCAACATTGTGGCAGCTTGCCGCGCCTCGACATGCAAAGTCTGGCAGGTGTCCAATCGCTAACCCTTCTGCTCAGGCAGCTGATCTAGTTACTCGTTAGTACCCCGTCTCGGCATTCTTCAGCGGGGGAGCCATGGCCATGCCAGGCTTGACCACAAAACTTTGGCACAAATGCTGTTTGAGATGCTTGTGCTGGAGTTGCCATTGCCAAGCCATCCTCCCTTTCCGCGCTGCCAGTCCGTGATGCCAGGTATGGACCAGTTGTCCCAGAGGGACCAGATGCAGGTCATGGCCGCACTCAACGAGATGCAGATGCAGGAGTTCTAGTGATCACTGCCCATGAGCGGACAAATAGACGGCTGCTTGTTGGGTCTGGTAACCAGTGAAGTCGTCCAACAGGAGCCAAGAATGACGGCCTCCTGTAACATCCTCTAAGAAGCCCTTGAGGGAAGACTCCGGCCGAGATTGCCCAAAGACTTCAAAGCGATATACATGCATACAGGTTGTGCTATACTCTTGCTTGGTGTACGCACGAAAGACTGTGAAAGCTCAGTGCAAGACGGAGCGGTGGATGGTATTTTGGGAGAGGAGTTGAGCACGGCCAATTTAAGGACTGCAGGACAGCACTTCCGTGCCCACTCTAGAACGGAGCCGTTGACTATATAGGGCGTGTGTAAGCGGGGAAATTCATCATAGCTCACGTCAGACCTCTCTGTGTCTGTCTGACTGTGGAAGACATCCTGCAAGAGCTCTGCAATAGTTTTGTCCAGGAGGAGATCGTAGGTCACAATCTTGCTGTTGCAATTGCTGAAAATTGTCCAAAGCCAGCAAAGGACAATTTCGATTCTTTTTGTCGTTCCTAGAGCAGTTCCTGCCTCCTCCTGCTACTCTGGCACCTCCAACATCTGCCACTGCCATTGCCACTGCCACTGCCGCTGGCGCTGCTATGTCAGTCTGCCTAAGCCACTGACGCTACGGCGGCTGATCAGTTGTGTTTTGTATGGATTTGTTTTGGGTCCCAACACATCATCATCATCATCATCATCATCCCGTTGGCAGTCCCCGTCCCTGAATGCTAACAGCCTTTGTTTTGCAGCCATGGACACCTAGTGCCTACTTGCAGGAGATGATGAACACCTACAACAACTTGGTGGAAAGATGTTTCAACGAATGCATCACTAGCTTTCGAACCAAGGCTGTGGATTTTGCAGCACATTTGTTGGTGCAGTCTGGTCACGTTGGAGCTGAAGTTTTTAAGATCTTGTTTCAGTACCTCCAGTAGGAAGAAGGCAAACACCTACTCCATGGAAAAATCATTAGTGCCTTATTTCTTGTTCGGCTTGCCCTTTCCAGCTGCAGCTCTTGCTGCCACATTGTGCAGATCCAACATGCAGAAAGCTTTCCTGCCACTGCCTCAGGGCCTGGAAGGCTCCGAGGAGCAGTGTGTCTCCCGTTGTGCTACGAGCTCAGAGTGGTTTATCGTGCAGCTCTACGGAGTGGGAGTGAGCAAGTTTTTTCTTGGGCCTACCTATTTCCGTGAACGTTTTGACATGGCACACAGCGGCCCATCTTTTTAGATTCCTGGTGGTAAAGCAGTCAGAGATGTCCACCTTGTGCTGTGAGGTGCAGAAGTACATGTCCTTCACCCAGTCCGGGCCAAAGGGTGTGTGCTGCATTGGTAGCATGCCGTGCCAGTAAGTCTTGGGATCAATTGCCGTGTGAGCTCTTTGAGGCGCGTGGGCTTGCGATTCCAAGAGAAGCAGCAGCAGATGCAGCTGCAGAAGCATGGTTGGCACATCAAGTTGCATGCCGCGTCCTCGTTTCGTGTGCCCGAGACTTGGCATGAGACTAAGGAAGCCAGCATGAGCTACCCGGCGCAGTTTTGAAGCTGCCGCGTGCGGCGTAGACTGCATTATCGCCCTCTCACTCAAGATAAGCGGTGCAGCCACGGATGTGGGCACAGGCCCTGTGCTAGACCTGCTGCGCAATGATATCGCCAGTGTGCAAAATGGCCTGCAAGGGCACTAGATCATGCTGAGTCCATTGCTGATGCCCAATCTACTGTAGCTGCATTCCCAACAGATTTCGAGCGGGTCTGGCCAGCTCCCGTTTCACGATAGCATCCAGGAACCAAGCCAGCAAGCGGTGCAGCCAACACTCATGCCAGGCGGTGGCATGTCAACAAAGGATCCGTCTTTTGCTGGCGGCTGTTGTAGCTGTTGCATAATTTGCTACTGTTATCTTCGCGAAGGGGGGTCAAACATGTTGCTGTTTTTGGCTCGAGACCTGACTTGCTTTTGGTCCCAATTGCGTGGTCCTCAGTCTGCTTCACTGATTGTTCACAGGGATGATGCGCAGTGCGTTGTGTGGGACTGTGGTGCAGGTTTACGGAGAAGTAGGTTCGGCACGCTTCTCTTGAAGAAACTGTGAGACAATCTTCTGAGGCTCGCCGTGGAAATCCCGCCTGGCGAGCAAACAAACTCCATACAGTACTTACAAGCAGTGCGGAGGAAGAGCCTTGCCTCAAAAGAAGCTTCCACACTTGTCAGGTCAATGGGGTGCAGTGGGTTGTTCTTTCTAGGTTTTTCTGTTCCCTGGGAGTGAGGGATTGCTCATCAAGATTCTCGGTGCCTACAGCCTTTAAACATCCTTTACACTCCAAGGACCTGAACCGATTCATGATGAGAGCTGAAGCCTGAGACTCCACAGCCTTCGCAGCTGGCGTTTCGCTACAATGTCAGGGTATCGTTCAAATCAGATTTGGAAGCTTGGTAAACCTGTACCATCAACCCACCCGAAACTTCTGACCAATATACATATTCTGCTGCCAGGGCAGTAAGGCTTCTGTGTTACACGTCCAAAATTTGCGAACCCATGAAGGGGATTATTCCTTGGATTGCTAGCAAGGATTCTCGAGTACAAATGGCCCTACACGTAAGGCTCTTCAACTTGCGCTTGCCGCGCTCGCGGCTGTCACTTGGGTGGCCGCCACCGACTTGGAGTGTGGCGAGGGCGACTGCAGTGCGGTGGAGGCCTCGAACCAGGGCTGCTTGAATGGCCAATTCCGCATCCAAGTGGTAGAAGGTGAGCCAAATATAACCCAAATCCTACAATCTGAGCCCAGGCCAGGCATCCCGAAGCAATAGACAGGTCCCAGACTCTCAAACCCTGTTCCCCTGCCATGCTGGTCTTGCTATTGTTTCTGTTGAACAAAGACAGGATGAAGTCCCGTTGCTGGATGTTCAGCTCCTCCAGAAGTCCATGTACCTAACTCCCTCGAAGCCGTCAGCCCTCGAAACAGCACCGGCCCCAGAGGGACAAAAGCAGTCGCATCAGTAGACGCAATGCTGGCTAGCAGGGATGCAAGAGGAGCAGGAGTAGTGGCAGGGGAGTGGTTGTAGTGACAAGATTAGCAGCAGCTGATTCTAGAGTGCTGATTTCAGACCCCGACCCTCGAAGCATATATATAGATATAGATATAGATATATAGAGCCGGTGCCCGAGGTGCAAGCTGACGGCAGCCTCATGCAGGAGGGCCAGGTAGAGATCCACCCTGTGGAGGACCGGCAGCTGGAAGCTGCAAGGCCAACTATAGGAAGTACTTGATGCCGTGAGCTAAATTAAAACCATCTAGCGCAGGACACTGACTATGTATCCAATGTATCCATAAGTCTGAGCGTTGTTGCGACTCTTTGACCCGTTGCTTGCCCCTGTCCTTCCAAACTTCCGGCCGCCATCGCTCGTAGATCATCCGTGCAATCACTCACAATGCACGAAGAAAGTCCGGCACTTGTTCTTGGACTCATGTGTCGGGAGTGTGCATCAGGAGCACTCACTCCTGCAGACCTCCATGGAGGTGGGTAGGACTTTGAAGCAATTGTAGTTCCGCCTGGTTGCTGCTGGGCTTGGTGTGCGCGCTCTTTTTTAAGCACGTGCAGGTTGACGGCCTTGAGGCATCCAACGAGACTGCAGTTTTGGGAATGGACGGTCGCATGGCCAGGACATGAGACAGGCTTTAGTTGGATAATGCAGATAAACATGATAGGCGCCCTGGAACCGCACCGTGTAGACCAAACAGCCGAAAAGAGAAACACCCTCGCAGAAAAGGTTTCTGGTCACCCCTGAAGAGGAGCCAGTGCCATGCTACAGTTTGCCACTATTAAGGTAAAGGACACACTTGGCACGAGTCTTCTGCCAAGGCTGGAGACTGCGGCCGAACGCGAGCTGCTTTGTTGAGGCAGAGCCACAAATTGCGTCTGGCTATGGCTCGTCTCAAGCGTCGCAAGCTTTGCCTGTTGGTCATCTGATCCGCGCTTTCTTGGTTCTGGGTCTAGGTGAGGTTGCAGACTGAAGTTTGTTTGTGAAGTGAGTGCGTGGCACTGCAAGCAAGCCTGTAGCTTTTGCATGTGCATAGTTGAGGTAACAGGGTTCAATTCCTCTCCCAGGTATTCTGGTAATCATTGGATTTTCATGATTTTCATTGCAAGCCTCGAATTTTTGAGCCCGAGTGCCATGAAAGGTCAATCCCCAACTTGCACGGCGCAACCTTGCTTGGAAGGAGCATGGCTTTTGTGAGCAGGCTATGGAATCCTAGCCTTCCTCAAGGTTTGTTTTGATGTTCGTGTTGCTCCTGAAGCATTGATTTTTGCACAAAATTTCACCTGAACACCTTAAAAATACCCTTCAAGCCTTGATAGTTCCAAAAATGCCGGGGACCTCCTAATGTACCCAAAATATGTTGCAACTCTCTTGACCAAACGGAACCCCATAACTTCCGGAAACCCCCCTCTGGGGGCATGTCTTGCTTGCCGGTAGGGCCTGCTTCCTGTTTCCGGCACGAAGCCCCTGCTGGTTCAGCCGGTGACCCAGTAGCCGCCCCGTCCTCTTAGGCTTAAACAGGGGAGGGTTGTAGGGCTTACAGGGTACAGTAATTATGGATAATCAAACAGAAAGGACAGTGGAAATTAAATGGAAACTGACGGAAGAAAGTGCAAACGGTAACATGAAGTCTTTATCAGGATCACAAAAGGGAGCATTCGGGAAGCCCCGCCTAAAACTGAGGAGTTTGGAATGCGCGCATATCTTGGAGCCCTAGACACGTCCATGATTTAGATCGTCTCAGTTTTTATGTCCTCGTTTGTTAGTGCTGCTCTCAATCTGACCAAGCCAAGGTTGTTGTAAATCTGGTGTCCAGCAACTCACAACACATTCAAGCGACTTGAGCCCCAAGAACAATCCTCCGTTGGGTCCGACCCAGAGATTTGGGGGACCTTGGAAGCTTGCACAGCAAAGTACATTGCGAAAACGTAGGCCAGAGTCCTGAAAAGACAGCTCTATCTCCGTGTCTCCTCTGAAGCAGCCAAGCTGAACACTTCATCGCCAAGGCTGGGAACCGTTCATGAGCTCTCCAATTCATTGAGCTACTCGTCGATCTCCATCTCGTCCTTTCTCTTTGCGGACGCTGCCAAGCTTAGGCGGAGCATGGATGTCTACTGCATGGAGATTCACATGAGCCCCGAATTTGTGTCCGCAAGTGTGTTTGAAATAGAGCATGGATTGGAATTTGGGTTGTTGTTTGCGTAGGTGTGTGCGCACCTTAAACCATGGATGCATGAACTGAGCCAGCAGGCCAAGTATAGTGCCACTGGATTTTGCATATCTTGCCAGGTCTTCCCTGATTTTGTCTATCTACTTTGCACTCTATGTTTTCTCCATTGCGGGGCGCTCAGCATTGCACAAGCTGCTGTTCTAGTCAGCTCGTGTGTGGGACCTGCAGTCACCTGCATCAGCGTTCTGAGGTTTCTATGTACTACCACATGACAACAGTGCGGCCTTCTTCGGGCAAGACCCCAATGCCTGGCTATGGCAAACCGGAAACCTGGTTAAATTAGATCTCGATCTTAAGTTCGTCTAAAGCAGATCAGGTAGGAGAATCTGCTCCAACGTATGATTGCAGGGCTACACATGGCAGGACATGCTGGGGGCTGCATCGCGCACAGCAGCTACCGCAGCTGTAAAGCCACCAGTTGGATCCAGTTGGCACGGCAATTGGCTTTACTGGTTTGCTGGCTCAGGAGCTTGCGCCTGAAGATGAGATTTTGCGAAGCAACTCCTACTTGAGTTGGCTGTGTGTGCCCAGCACTTACAGGGATTAGGTAGATGTGGCAGTTCTGTAGCAGCAGCGCTCAGATGCAGCGAGCAACAGGCGATTGCAGAGTTTTGGTAGTGCTAAGGGAGGAGAGGGAGGGGGGGCGGGGCATGGTCCAAAAAACTGCGGACACCGAGGCAGATGCTTGAGCTTTTTCTCATAAGAACGAAAGAGTAGAAAAGAAAGAACCAGAAACAAAGCAAAGTTTCAATCTGTTTGTTCGACCTGGCTCGAGAAGATGACTTGGAGCCCCAACAGTTTCAACTTCAATGAACAAGACAAGTGCAGAGTCATGTTTCCAAGGACATGGCTCAGTCCAATGGTGGCGAAACTAGGCCTGCCTGCATCCTCTGAAGTTTCTCCAGGTATACTTAGCTCTCATTTTTGCATTCGAACATAAATTCTTGGACGGGATGCCAACAGCGCGCCAAGGCGCAAATTGTCTCACAGTATCCCCTGCTGACCTTCTGTTGCATGTGCTGGAGTAAGGCAAGCAGCTCGCGGCATCTCATGCGAAGTCCAACCAAGAAAGCAAACAAGTCGGTTTGAAGTCTTCCAAAAACCTCCGCATTGGTGGAAGGCCACTCCTGGAACAGCGCGATGTCCAAGTGTAGCCCTGATGAGCTCCCGCCAGTGAACTCCCCGGAGTTTCAGGCTGGGACCGTGATCCTTCGTAGTGCTGTTTATTCTGTGTGAGTATTGTAGCTTGAAATCTATTCAAGCACGTCACATTTGGGAACGGGATGCTAGGGAAGGGGCATGGTCAGGAAGGCGAGTTCCGAGCCAGCCTCGCTGGCATCCGGCCGGGCTAGTGAGCCTTGAATCGTTCCACAGGTGTTTTTCTGAGGGAAGGGGGATTTCCAGTCCGCTAGGTGCCCGGGTTTTGCGTTGCCTCGATGCCGCGTAATCACATTCAGCACTTTGATCAGCTCTGTGGCTCGGCATCTTGATGTTTGAGCCTGCCGTGCTTGAACCCAAGAAGCCCAAAGCCTAATCCCCTAAACACTGAGAGCCTGGAAGCCCAGATGAAAAACCTGAACCTTTACCTCCTAAAGCTTTATCCCAACCTCTAAAACCTAAACCCTGAGACCCTAAGCTCCCATCCCTATACTATACTATACTATACTGCTATAGTATACTATACTATATAGTATATTATAGTATACTATAGTATACTATAGACTATAGTATACAATATTACATTATACTATAACCCTAAAGCCCTCCAAGCTGCAAACTGGTGCCAGCCAGGCCATTCGGCAGTGCGAGCGCTTCGAAGAACTCTGGGCAGAGGAAGTCCCTGGGTCAGCGTTGAAACGCCACGGACGAAGGGTCTCCAGTTTGGTGCTGGTGAACCATGTAAGATCCAGTCGGACATTTGTATGACATGAACATACCTGCCTTGGTTTGAAGAAGGGTGTATTGATTCAGGGTTTGATCTGGTGAGAGGTACTGGCTTCAGGGCTTGCAAACATGCAAGCAAAAGCTTGCTGTTCTGCATCTGCAAAACTGAACTCCTTGTATCCCTCGTGTGTGTTTTAGGAAGTTGTTAGCATGGCTTGTGACGTCGGCCCTGTGCCGTAAGAATTGACAGATACAGCCACGTTACCACGTCTCAGTGATTCACAAGAGCATCAAACTTATGATGCGTGTACAGTCCATAGCAAAGTCAAGTTGCTCAAGGATTGAAGGGGCTCGGGGCATAGCTGAGGGTCCAGGGTTCGGTTCAGCGCTGAGGTCTTCTGGATGCCGCAGGAAGTAGATGGAAAGTCTTTTTCGTAGACATGGCCATGCCAAAAAACTTCTCGTGTATATCCTAGAATGACCAGAAGGTTTTGGGAATGACACCCGAATCAGAGTCCCAACATAGTACCAGCCACAGCCCAGGTCCGAGTGCGCGGTCTTGAGGAGGCAGGCTGCAGTTTGGTTGATGATCTGCGGCTCTGGGAGTCAAGGGCTTGGGGTTTACCTGTTCGAGGGCCTGAGATTTTTGGCATGGTTAAGCGTTTGACATTCCCTTGAGGATAAGCGTGTGCTGGGATGATGCCCCTGCGTTGGTCTCCCAAGGTCATTCCCACAAGATCTGATTCAGTTAGCTTTGCTTTGAGGCTGCTACAAAGTTCAGACCCTTCATCCTTGCTTGCGAGGCACTTGTTGACCACGAGTATCCGGGTTTTTGCCTGTGCAACTTGTTTTCATGAAGGCAGGCCACGATGCCTCAGGCTCGCTAGACAATCATGTAGCCAGACGTTGGCAACGTCTGCGGCCTTGTGCCGGTTCAAGATGTGGCAGAGCTTGCCAAGGATTTGCATTTCACGTGAACCTCAAGCCATCCCGCTAGGCACAAAACTGCCCAAATTTTCTTCAAGGAACAAGACTAGAGTTCCAGCAGCCCCTGATTGGCAGGCCAGCGTCATGCGAGTAATCTGCAAGCTGTGGGGTTACACTCGCCTGGTGGCCTGCCTGCCTTAGAGGTGAGGCGTGTAAGGTATATGAACAGCTGTGGCCTCGGTTGCGGGTGCTTCGACAAGCTTGGATCGTTTGCAAGAATCACGGATACATTCAGTTTTCCGGATTTCTACAGCCACTGTTTGATGAGATGGCGCATGCAAATCTATCCCAGACCAAAGCGCACCATGCATCCTGAACAGTGAGCCTACCAATGTTGTAGTCGGATGCACCGACCATGGCAAGATTCCTGAACCACGAGAGGGAAGCACCACCAGTGGTTGCACCAAGTTCTGGTTCCACAGTTCCCTCTTCGTTCACGTGGTCATTGGCTGCACGACCGCAAGAAAGCTTTGCCAACGGATTTTCTTCCTTACGTCTCCAGGAGCTATATGAGGCATTTACAAAGGTACGTGATGGGGCTGAAGGGGATCTCGCAAGGTGGTTGACTGGGGAACGCTGGGGATCAGCTGACCTGCGATCAGCTGAATTCTTTTCAGGTTCTAGAAAGCCCTACCTGCCCCTCGTCATGTGTAGAAGATGTGGCCACATCCTGAAGACTTTTGGTCGAACTTGCCCGAGGCAACCTTTACCAAGTGTTCCTGATTCAGACGTCCCTCAGCTACTTCTTCTGGCTACAGAAGGAGGCGCCCGGCCGAATCAGGGGTTGATGGGTTGAATATCGGCAAATAGATGGACTCCTGAGCACCTATAGCTTCGCACCAGGTTTTTAGAAAGGGGGTGAAGGGTCGCAATGGTTGAATTGCTGCCAGGGAGCTGAGGATGCCTCAGACAGAAGAACTCCCCTGTACAGTTGATAGGGTTTTGAGGGAAATGTGCCCCAGATGCAAACCCACCAAGGTGCATGCGAACAATGGCCAGCTCCCGGACATGACGAAGCCTATCTTGGTCTCAATCGCTCCTTGGCTAGATGGCTCTTGCTGGCTCCTTGTGTGGCTCCTTGTGTGGTTGGATTTAGGGTCTATCCTGGCATCCGCCTCAGCTCCAGGTGTAAAAGGGGAGATGTGTGTCTGACACCAGAGGACGGTGGTGTTGGCAATTAAGCGGAAAGAGTTGCCGGATTTTTTGGGGTCTGGCCCAGAGGTACCGGGTTGAGACTGCGCGGTGCACAATTGGTTGACTCCAAGCCTCGATCCTCAAAAATGAAATCCTGGACCCTCAAAGCTAAATCCTGCTTTCAGCTCAGCCCTGAACTGTAAAGGCGCAACACCAAACCCCACACCTTACATGCAAAATCTCGCGCCTGAAGCTCGTAGCTCAAGCGCGGACATAGTCGAAACTCAACATACTTTATGGTTGATCCGTTGGAGGTTGCCTTCTCCGCGCAGCCGCTTGTGGGAGCCTCAGGAAGTATCACCGAATGAAGGGTAGGTGTGAGGATGCCAGGGGGTTGCGGTCCCAAGGTGTTCTAGCTGCCAGCTGATGAGTCTGACATCTTCTGCGAAAAAGTTGATCCCGTGCAATTCAGCTAAACCTGAAAAGGGGCAGAGCGCGAAGAAATTACTTGGTAGTATGTTGTTAAGCCCTCAAACATTAATTAACCCCCCACAGAATGAACTGGCAACTCTACATCTTGCGAACAAGCACGGGGCAGTGTGACCGCAATCAGACAGTCCTGAAAGTACTGGTCCCCTTCTGCTAGAATTTACAAGGGTACCCCACGACGAAATATGAGGAAATATCAGCTCTGTGGAATCGTTTACACTTCAGTAGCCCAGCCTGCTGTCAGAAATAGGCAATGGCCCCAGCAAGTGACTTTTCCAAAGTCCACCACTAGTGTTGCTCGCGTTGCAGAAGTACTACAGCGCAGAAGGCTTCCTTTTAACATTGTGGAGTCTTGAACCACAGCAGCTACCAGATGCTGCTTTACACATTGCCTGCTTCAAGGTCTTCGCTATCCTTTGCTCGTGACCTGGATGGCATTGTTGTCCCGCTCAGCGCATTCTGGAACTTGAAGAAATCAATGTAGGCGGACCTGGACTCAGAACATGTAACCCTGGAATCCCAGAATCTGAAATGCTCAAAGGCGTTCAAGGCGAGAGGCATAATTCTCAGTGGAGATTGCGTTTACACATAATCCCCGAACTTTGCAAAATATCAAAGTGCTGGTGCAGATCTTGCAAGAGCCATGCGCAACAGCTGTCCCAGTGAGTTGGGGGCTCCGGCAAATTGATCCCTTACCAGAAGTCGCTCAGAAGAAGGCGTAAGACCGAGACCAGGAGAAACCTTGCCGATCACAAAGCCTACGCAAGCGAAGAATTCCAAAGCAGTATGAGGTCCATAGATGTTCAAAACGGGAGGACCCGCCTCCTGGAAAATGTTCAATCCATAGCTGGAGACCATCAGCTGCATTCATGGGTCGGCCCTACCTCCTCCATGTTCAGCTGACAGGCTTGAAGCCAACCTCTCAATGAAGTTCGACCAGTGCATTGCAGGGGTTGTGGGGCCCTCAGACAAAGCCTGCTACCCACTTGGTGAACTCATATTGGCCTAACAACTTCAGGCTTTGCTTTTCTAAGCTATTGGAGCAACTAGACGTGAAGCAGGCGCATGCTGCGGAAAGACTTTCAGCAGTCCCTTATGTCTTGCCACGGGCACCGAGCTCCCCCATAGACTCCTCCACGTCATTCTCTGCCATAACTGTTCCACTGGCCTACTTTCGCCACCCAGCAGGACTGCAAAAAGACACTAGTCTGTATTCTTGAGTCTTTCGCATCAAGCCAGCAGCCAACTGCAACAAAGCTCTCTGAATGGCCATTGTCATGTAAACAGCTACAGTGCCGTCTGCTCAGCACATGCTGCTGTAGCCGACTTGCTGCTTCAGGCAGTGGCTATGTTTAAGCACCTTGGCCGCAATGAGCTCAAGCTGTACACATGAGCGCGTGGAGGTTCAAGCCGTCAAGGCAACCTGCCTCTTTCAGCCCTCAACCTGCAAACCCCCAATAAGCTTCCAAATTCCTGTAAGCACCGAGCCTTCAACCCCAGATTCCAAAAAAGCCACCTAAAGATATAAACCCAGCAGCCCTGGGCCCTACAGTGCTGAAGAATGTGGAACCCCCAGGAAGACGCAGCGCTTGCCCGCCTCCATGCTCAGCCAAGACAAGCCAGTGGGAAGCGCTGAGGCCCTAAGTGTTCTTCTTCAGGTCTTAGTAGGGTTTAGGGAAATTGGGCTCTTAGTTTGGATGATTCCACCTGTCTGGCGGGAACTTACGCCCATTGTTGGCAGGAGGCGGACCACCTGCCGGACAAAGTGTCCAAGAAGCCAAATGCAATTCAACTGCAGACAATGCCTTCATGTGTCCGTGGGCAACTTGCTTTTTGGTTCGATGATGCCTCTTGCCATCCCACAGTCGTCTGTCTGGATCCGAGAAAGTCGAGCCCAGAAGAAGTTTTTTGACAGCGATAAGGCAGCAGGAATATGGAGACTTGCCAAACCTTCCTACTGTAGCACTCGCCGCGGCCCTTCAGATGAACCCAAGCAATCAGCAGCACTTTGTACAATTCCATGTGCCCTATACTTACTGGTGATTCGTAGGGAACGACGAAATGCTTTGTAGTGACCACTGTAGGGATAATATAGCGACTACTATAGGGATGGATTTCTCTATGCCCTACTTATCACAAGTAAGCTCTGAGGCGATGATGACCATCAACCAAGATGTGATTGGCAACTTCCACGGGCAGATTTGCCTGCAGAATTTTCCTGACATAGAGATATGGGGGGTTTCCCAAATGGGGGATGCGTTTTTGGGGGTGCTTGGCATGGGGAAGGAAGGATTCTTGTAGCTTCAGGCTGCGGTGGTTTGGGATGCAGTAGAAAGACTTAAGCCTCTCGCTGTCATGGGTCCTTCATGCGGTTTCCACCTGTGTAGAGTGTAGAGATCAATGTTTTCGGCAGATTGAAAGGGACCGTCACCTCGTCAAATGCCCAGATGGCTTCTTGGTTTCCACGTTCGAGCCAGCCTGTTTGTTTTCGGACTTCGTGGGCGGCAGGCAAGGCATCCTTGGTTTGCTAGATTTGTTAGTTCATGTGTCAGGCAGCCCCTGAATGAAAATTGTGCTCTTACATTCCTTCATTTGACGTGTAGAGTATGTGTATGTGTCAGTGCCCGAGCGTACCTCAGGCTGACTTTCCAAGCCTCGCTGACGATCAATGCCAGCCTGACAGTGGCCGTGCTCCTTGTGCTCATGGACGCCTGTTTGCAAAGAAGTTCCCCTTTGATCAATCCTCTGCTGTATCCGGATCTGACAGCCCCTCCCATATCAAACGCTCTCAGGCTGTGAAGCTGCGCTTGGCCACGCTGTTCTGCTTGGCCGTGGCAATCCCAGGCTTCTTGTAGGGAGTGTAGTTGTCAAGACACACGCGGGCCTCGTAATGGCCTTGATATGGGAAGAACAGCCGCACCAACGCATGACCGGGACCTTTCATCTCAGGACAAGGGAATTCTTGTTTTTGTGCCATCCCCTGCAGCCCTCACGGTGTCGGTCATCCTCAGCGGCGCCATGGGGATCAACATGATGCAGCTCCAGGATGTGATGGACAAGCGTGCCCTGGGTTTGCAAATCTTGCTGCGCGTTGGTTCAAATTTTGATTTTTCAAGCCATGCTGTCCGTTAAAAGGTGGGAAAACCATTTTCACACGATTCGTGCGCAGCAACAGCAGCAGCATCAGCAGACGTGCCAGGTACCAGTGTGAGATCCTTCAATTTGCATGATCTCAGGTGTCTATCTGCTCCGTGAAGTGCTGAAGGGAATTCGAATTGTCAAGTGCTACGCATGGGAGAATGCCATGGAGGCAAGCTCCGCATGGGGTGTGCTTTCAGGTGGTTTCAGTGTGCATGCCTGGAATCATAGATTCTGCTGAGCGCTATCTTGATGTGCCCTGATTTGCGCATGCAGAGTGATGAGCCTGCAAGGAACAGATCAAAAGAATCCGTGGCAGAGAGCTGTCCATGCTTGGAATTTACTTCCGCATGTGTACCTTGGCTGGAAAGCTGGCCACCTTTGGGCAAGGGTGCCGAAACTACCAATAGGGCCTTGGGATCGGATGTTTGCCCGGCAAATGACGGTGGATCGTGCAAACAGGAGCAGCTATGACTGCAGCTGCAGTGGCTTCCATTAACTGCAACTGCGCGTTCGAAGATCTGCTTCTCGTAGTACCAACAATGGATCCTTGAAGAGCCTTCGCTGGCGGGCTGTGACTGCTTCACTATGTTCTCTGTGCCCAGGCAGCCACTTCGTGGTCCTGTTCAACTTGTTCCCAAGGCCGGGCGGTTTCACGCAGCCTCGGATGCGAGTTCGTCCACAGCGGCATCGATGTTTGAAACAACAGGTTTGGGGCATGATTTGCGGAATTGCGTCAAAGAAGGCTTGTTGAATATCGCGTTGTAGTAGAGTCTCAGTACATTTCGGCAGCGGTTCACGAGTAAGTAGGCCAGAACAGTTGTGGGAGTTGAGCGCAGGAAGTTAAGTTGAAGTCAAGCTGCTGGACCTTGCAGTGCCCGCTCTGATACGTTTGTTGCAAACCAGGTGATTCAAATGCGACAGTAGCATCCGCAAGCCTAAGCCCATAATTAGACTGAGTTTGGGTTCTGCAAATCCAGAACCGAAGGTTGCTGACATGCGCTGGACTGTGGGGATTTCTCCACTTGATACCTGGCGACACTTCATGGTAGGGGTTTATCCTGTGACTGCTTCTAAAGCGACTCAAAAACCCTGAGCTGTAAATTCTACACCATATGTGTTCAACATCCCAATCCCAACAACAAAGCGGAACCCTCTGGGAATTCCCGATGTGGCAGCAACAGAGTGGCACCCGAGCCCAGGTATGGAAACCACGACTTGGCCTCAATCTTCGCCTGCCTGCAGATCTTGGCATCTCTGAGGCTCGGTCGTGGGCTAGGGCCTAGGGGCTTAAAGGCGTTTAGCTCGGTGGAGGTTGCGTAGTGTGTGTGTATATATATATATGTATGGAGACCATGTCGAGGAACGCTCGTGCCAATAATCCAGCTAGCTGAGAAAACTTAAGTATTTGGTGTTGAATTTCTGCAGTTGTGGAGAGCCTAAACCCCAAACCTCAAGGACCGAGACTCCTCAAAGCTTCCAGTGCCTTGCCTCGAGCAAGGGTACCGTGCAGGCCACCAGGCCTTGTAGCAGGGGGCCAGTGGGACCCTGTGCAATTCTGTACCGGAGTGCTTCAATACTGTACAGTGTAGATTGCTTCCTTGCCATCAAGGGCCCTCAAGCCTCAACCTCGTGCTACAAAGCGTGCTGGCACGCTGTCGAAGTTGCTAGGGCCAGCAGTCTTCTGCGCCGCTGCAGTTTCGTTTGAGCCTATGGTTGACATCCTTGGAGAGCCTCAGTGATTGCGGGAGCCCTCGGTCATGTGTCTCGAACAACCTATAGCATCTAGAAGCATGTTCTTGCGGCTGCCGTCCTTGACCAGGTAACAAGAAAACACATCAGTAAGGTAGCTCCAACCCCGCTATCCCCTAGGAACTGCAATCCACAACGCCCTCAGCCCGAAATTCACCTGAGTCTAATCATGAACCCCCCTTGGTTTGTCCCCTTATGAGACCCACAGCATGCGGGCTCTGATCATTTATGTGAGCTATAGTAGAACCCCTGTAAGAGTCCCCTGTATAATCTCGTAAATATCACCCCTTTAAATAGTTTAGACTCTAGCTCATTTAGGGCATTCGCAGGTATCCGTCAGCCCTTTGAAGTGAGGCAAGAAAGCTCCACTCTTTCCGGGGGAATCCAGCGCATGATCACCGTGCGGATCAGTTCGGCAGGGGCCCTTGCACCAAGCTAAGTCATCTCACGGGTTCTTAAGAGGGTAGGATAGGGATAATGGAAAAGAAAATGGAAGCACATAACTATATAGATATATTCCCGTATTCCTGACGAAGAACCAGTAAGTCATGGCCTCGCTCCTGCCGCCGCCCTTGCTGCTGGTTTCGCACATGTTTATTGGTTATGGTAATGTCATGGTTTTCTATTGTTAAATGTGTTTTGCTGTCTTGCTGTTGTCAGCACTTCTGCATGCACCCTGGCATGGCTACATGCGCGTTAGCAGCATTCTTCTCCACACAAGAGTGCTGTTGCCGCCCAGCTGGTTTCTGATACGGCATGTTTTTTCAGCACCATCGTGGCATTATGCTCGTCACAGGCATCACCATAACCCTGCCTGATGCTAGTTTTGGCATTCTACATTTTACAGTAGCAAACGCGAAGATTCGTAGAGGATTGCCCATGCTGTTGTCACATTTTTATTTAATGTTCTCTTTTCTTTCATTTCTCTAATGGGCGTGTGTTCTGTCAGGCATTGTAGGTTTGGGCATCCCATTTCACATGTCAAAAATCCGTGAAGTGAAGGGTCTTATCAAATGCAGACCATACGAGTCACCCTCAGTCTTTCGGAGCTTCTGGAGTTTTGGGCATGGCCGGCCCAAATACTTGGAAGACACTTTCACAAACCACCGCACAAGCCTTGCCATTCCCAGATGCGCGTGGAGAACTACTTGAAGCAAGAGGAAGCACCAGTGCTCCCAGGACCTAGCATGTTTGAGATGACCTAGGATGAATAAAGTAATTCAGGCACTCCGCACCAGTTTTCCTAGTAACATGTCTTGTCGCACTTGTTCGGGCGACCAGGAACAGGTACTCCAACTTTTCGGGCTAATATATTATCCTTGCTGGTATGTAGCCTGCTTGGGCTATCCCTGCCGGTATGTAGACTGCTTGGGCTAGGATTTCTGGAGGTCTGTACAAGGTTGTTCCTCAATTCTCAATGCCTTCCATCTCTGCCAGTCTCCATGTCAAGGGGTGAGAATTGCCCCCCCCCATGCAGAGGTTTCTCAGTTAGGGTTGCAGATTTTTGAGTCCCCCAGTTTGGAAATTGCCTGCGTGGCAGGAGTGTCGGTTCCCAAGTGGGTGGAGATTTGGCCGAAGCAGGTCAGCTGCGACCTCAGCTGTGAAGGACGCATCCTCACAAGAGCTTGCAGACAGTGTGGGAGTTTGCAAGCACTGGGGTTCCCCGTCTTCCCCCAACAGAAGAAAGCCCTTACTGTGGGGAGTGGGCCCAGAAGTTCGAGTCTACTTGTTGCTATAATCTGTCTGAGGAGGATGTCGGGCTGGGTCCAACCTAGGATGGCCCGCTGCCTCAATCAGCACAATTGCAACCCACTGTCCAATCTACACGGCTTGGACTGGGCTTTCGATTGGGGCTGCTGGTGGGCATGCTGCCGACGACCCGAGCAATAACGAGGACAACAGCCAAGACAACGGCGAAAACTACTAGTGGTGTAAGTACTTTATGCTCACCTGCATCTTGCGCAAAGATGCTCGCTTTTAAGACTTCTGGCTCTCAGCCCTCAGCCCGGAGGCTGAGCTGCAGGGTTGCTAGGCTGACCATTTGCCGTCGGAGCTGCGAGGCGCCATACGAGAGCAAAGTGGACTGGATCCACATAACCGCCAGCGTAGACTTAGGGCAAACGGAAGGGGGCGCGCTGGGTTTGCGGTTGAGATCATGTTTGGCAAGGATTCGATGTCCGGGTTGGAATCCGAGTTGCTTGGCACAGTCGAGCTGGCAATCCCGGATCCGGATGGCACGTTGTCAGGCCATGTCACGCCCATGCTGGGGCACATCTGTAGGCCAAACAAGTACGTGGATGCAAAATCCACCGGAACCCGGCGGAGGCTGCCGCAGTCATAAGTTCCTGCATCCGCTGTGGCCTCGTTCTCCAGCAAGTGCAGAGCTGCAAGTTGTTGTTGTTGTTGTTGGAGGAGGAGGAGGAGGTGGTGTGGTGGTGGTTCCGCTGCTGCTGCTGGCGGTGATAGTGGCACTTGCGCCAGCAGGAGCATGCAGGAGCACGAGTAAAGTAGAACCAATCGTCGTAGTCTTGCAGTGGTGGTAGCTTGGGAAGTATTAGTGGTAATTAGTACTTTGAGTAGTGTGAGAATTGGTATTGGAACAGGTGCTTGTTTTGTTGTAGGCAAAGCAACGAAGCAGGGCAGATACCAGATCAGTCAGAATTGGAGCTTGATTCTGCGGTAAGGTGGCATGGTACCAGAAAGACATGGCCAGGTTTCCTCTTCCAGCCTTCCTACTATAGTCAGAAGGAGGAATCTCAAAACACTACCCCTCAATTTGCCAGTCCTTTCTCCAAACAAGGTCCACAAGGCCCACAGCCGTCGTTCAGCATTCGTGGCAGCTATCTCTATTCGCGCGACAAGCCCACAGAGATTGAGGCTTGGACAGCAGGAGTTTCTGCATATGCGAAAAATCTACTAACAAGCCTGGTGCTTGAAGGGCAGTGTACGAGTTTCCCTCCGTCTCCTTCGTTTTTTGGCTCTCTCTCCCTCTCTCTCTCGCTCTCTTTTTCTCTCGGTCGCCCACTCTTTGTGCCATACTTCTACCTTCTTTTCGCTTGAGGGCTCTAGATTGCTTACAATCCCTTTCTGGCTGGGGCTTCAGAATGTGAGGTGCAAGCCTGTGCCAGTGTTCAGCGAAGTGAGCCTGCAGTTTGTCTGATTTTCGCTTCAGCAAGAGAGGATCATTGCGAAAGACTAGGTTTCCATCTTCTTCATGCAGCAGGAAGTGGTTTCCTTGGGTGTTTCCACCAGATGTCCTCACGTCTTCATATGATATACTGCGACATCCTCATTTTCAACTCCTCGGACCATCTGTGTGTTTTTGAAAATCAGTGAGCTCTGCTTCAAGTGCCAGAGACATCAAGCTTGAAACTCGAAGAAAAGGGCACCACCGTTTGAGTGATGATCCAGACAGTCCCCACAGAATCGCTGACAAGGCACCCCCGCCATGATCCCTCATAATCACGTGAGCCATAACCTAAACTCCTTCGAAGGGGTTATACAAGGGATTATATAGGGCACTACTACAAGGGTTATTAAGGGGGATACAAGGAGTTTAGACAATGGCTGACTTCAGGTCCGGAGGCCCTCCAGGAGACACCTCCCAGGATGACAAAACCTTCAAGCAACGTCAGCCAAGGCTTTGCACAATCTTAACCTGGAGGTGCAGAAGGGGGCCGCTTGACTAGAGTGCAAACAGATGGGGGGTTCACATTGTAGGGGTCTCATAGGGAGATTACAGAGGGATTATGGGTCCCTACTGGAGGTTCTTGTGCGGCACTTTCGGGAAGCTCTTATGCAGCATGGACATGGCTAGAGGATTGGCTTCTGGGATTTTGCCATGGTTGTGGAACTTACACGAAGGGGTTTCTGCGACTCGCCATGTTGTGTTGGTGACTTGTAGGGTTCTGCAGGGTTTCGGAGGAATTCAACTCGACTTCAAGAGTCACTGTAAGCCCGCCTCTCATTTCCCCAAAACTGGAGACTCTTGAAAAAGCTGCTTTCTGGTCCATCTCGGAGCCATTTGAACAGACAGGTTGTGCAACAGGAAGTTGCGTTTTAACAGAACATGCGCCTAGTTGGGCCTAGTTGAAAGCTCCATTCTATCCTCTGCTGACTAGGTTTCTATTCTACAAGCACTCATTGGCTTCAAGTTTTGGCGAGGCTCTCTTAGCCCTTAGCTGTGGAGCAGGATGGCTCAAGGCACAACCCTATCGGCCGCAGTGTCTAATATGGAGTTGCTTCGAGCCATTCCCTCCACCCTCGGAACACTTCAAGGTATCTTTGGTGAGATCTTAATGTCGAAGCTTGAATAGTACTGCTTTCAGTATACATTGTCATACGCTCTCATGTTTGCGTCTTCATCTGGTTATATCTCCTCTTTAAGTGTAGTCCCATAGTCTCTCAAGGCCCCAGAATACTTAAAGGATTTTTCTTGTCCTCAGAACATTTCAGAACCTAGGAGATGGTCGCTCTGGTCGGAGGAGTCGGCTCTGGGCTGCTTGTCTCCTGGGGGACACACGCAGTTTTGGCCATGTGTATGCGAATCAAATATGCCTCAGAAACTGGAAGGATTTAGCAGAACAAGGAGAGGGTGCAAGCCACAAGCTGTTGGTGTTGGCCCTTGAGATAAGCTTGTGACTTGCTCTTATCACGATTCGCACTGAGACGCTGTTGTTGGCGAGTTTGCTGTTTGCATTGCTGACATGACCATTGCTAGGCTCATTGTCATGTAGCCTCACCGTGAATCACAGCTTCCGAGGGCTCAGCTAAGCAAGGTAGCATTCCGGAATTCTGGCAGCTGCGCTGCGCGAACTCCTGGAGATAGACTTCTAAATCCCGGGTATGAGATTATAACCGGTCATCATGCTAGTTACTGTATCCTACACGGAACCGGAACCCCGCTCATAGCTACTGTGCCCTGAACCTCTAAGCAAGCCCAGGAAGAGCACTCTACTGGAAGCTGCGCTCGGGGAGCTGCATCCCCTCTCGGCCACTTCAAAATTTTCAGATATATTACAATACCATGCAAAAATGTACTATAATTTCACTATGATATAGTAGAATATAGTAAAGGGTTGTATTTGGGTTTACGGTGTATGGTTTTGCCACTGAGTTTTGATGGGAGCATGCAGAGTTGGGATTGCACGTGGATTTGTACGTCATCAGGGTTTCTGGCTTGGGTGGCTGGATCTCGGTGATAAATTGCGTGCCAGGAAGGGAGTAAGAGCCCGCTTTCTTTGAGGTTCCACCATTTTAATGGAAGGTAGCCTAAACTGGGTGCTAAGAAAACAAGGGTGAAGGAACACGAGTCAATGAGAGATAATCTCCCTTTTCTCCAACGTAGGGTTCTTGGCTTCTCTGTCTGCATCAGCTGCATCCTGCCAGAAACACAAGTAGGGAGGATTGACAGAGTGTTCAATTCATCATGGGAGAGTCCAGCGCAGTCCCAAAATATCTAGACTCTTGCTGCCTCTCGTCTTCACCCTTCATGCGCCGTCAGCGGCCTGAGAAGCAGGAGTTCTCACATGGGCCTGCAGCCAAGGAAGAGAAGGCCTTCCTGTCCCGGCCGCACGTGTGTGGCTACAGTGGGGGGCTCAGACATGGCAGAACTTGTGAAGCTGAAGTCTCCCCTCGGCCAACTTGAGCACCCCTGAAAACTGCGAGGCAAACATATTTGTGTACATGGAAAACCCAGTTCAATGTGCAAGATAGACACTCTAAGGTGCACAAGTGCCCCACATCGCCGAGGGAACTTTGCGAGAGAATGTTGTGTTTGGCCAGCCGTGGGATGAGGCCAGAGCTTCAGAGCCTCATGTCCGAAACCCTGTTGAGAACAACACGTTGCGCAATATTTTGTTTGGTGGGCGATCGGCTTGCGTCAAGTCACAGGGACTTGGAGAGCTAGCCATCAGAAGCCTTCTCACTCATGATTTTCCACAATTGGGTCAGGACTACAGGCCGCTTATGTCAGCACCCAAGCCAAACTGTACATGCCTGGCAGGCGCGCTACCGACAGGCGGTGTCAGCTGCGGGCCTGGATGGAGACCTGAAGCTGCTACCAGGCCGGGCTTCTTCCATATCATGAGCTCAAGGCAGGCAGTAGTTCCAGGTCTAGGCTCCATGCAGCCCTAAGTTGTCAATCTCAAGCAGAACCTTGCGCACTGCAAGTTTAAAAGAGCAGCCATATTTGAGCTGGTTCAGGGCAAGGAAGATGAGACTGATATACTTTGGGTTGAGATTAGGGTTGGGATTAATTCTTCAGGAGGCATAACCCCAATCTTCTACTAGTTTCCAATTTATTTTCCATTATCCCAATATAACCCCAAAATGACTTTAATATTACCCCTATAAGCTACCCTAGGGGGCAAGGTAAAATGTAACCCCATATAACCCTATATGTGCAAAATATAACCCTATATAGCCCCGTACAACCCCTATTTCACCCCTACCTGGCGCTATATAACCCCTATATAACCCCTGAACCCTAGGGGGCAGGCTACAAGGCACGGGCCGTAATTCTTGCCAGGTACGTCAGCGCAGAACACCGAATGCAAGATGCCAAAAGGGGTATATAGGGATTACATAGGGGTTATACAGGGTTAGGGTTTAGGGTTTAGGGTTTAGGATGTAGGGGTAGGGTTATATAGGGTGTTATATAGGGTTATATAGGGGATAATGGAACAGAAATGGAAACTACAATAATGGAGTTACATAGGGTTTTTGGTTGTGATTATAAGGCATGCTTCTTGAGATGCTGAGCATGAGGGATTAAGCGTTCGCAGGGAAGTAGTAGTAATAATAGTTTAATAGTAATTAATAGTAGTAGTAATAATATTTATAATTAGTAAAAATGATAATAGGAATAGTGATGGTCATAGTATTCGTAATAGTCAGACTACTAGAGATAGTATTCGACTTCCGCATGCGGAGGTGGGGATGAGGCTTTCATCGGCGCTCGTGGCATCAGTCGCTCGCACTACCCTAGCATGGAAAGCGTGACGGGCGTGACAGCGCGGTTTTTTTTTGAGGACTTTCCCCTGACAGTGTAGAACTGAGTAGTAATAATACTAGTAATTAAGTGTAGTAATAATGATACTAGTAATAGTAATAGTAATAGTAATATCAATAGTCATAATATTAGTAATCCCCTATTCAGGGACACGTCGCCCTGAAGCTGGCTGAGGTCTGTCAGGTGGCCAAAGGGCACGCATTTCACTGGCAAGGACCGCCTACAACGCGAACGCTGCGCCCTGATAGCAGACGAGTTTGATTCCAAAAGTAAGAGCCGAACTCCATCAAGGGGGTTGTATAGGGGATTGTATAGGCTATTATGGGGCTTATTAAGCGGGATACTAGGAGACTATGTATTCCTGAGTCTTTCCTGAAGCAGCCGGAACAGCTGTGCAAGCCTTACACGGCTCCTGTCTAGCAGAGATACTGATAACCCTCGGCCAGGAGCAATTTAGGTTTTCTCACACCTCGAATCTGGAAGCCACACCCCGACTCAGGAACTTGTGCTTCTGGATGCAGCTCGGCATGCAGAAGAAACTAGGGAATATTTAGGGTTTGTTATGTAGGGGCTGTGTAGAGGTTATATAGGGATAATGGAAAAAATGGAAACCACTATAAAGGGTGGAAGGTTTAGGCCCAAGCCCAAAACCCCAGACCACATGGGTGGTTGCCGCAGCTACGGCCCGACCATGTTGGGTCACTTTCAAGAAGGTGAGCCCCAGGAATGCGGTGCCTTCGGAGATGACTCCCAAACTTGACACCTGCCAAGTGGGCTTTGCCTTCATGAGAGCTAAGGACCCGTTTGGTTCCGTGGATGCACCTACAGCCCTGTGGATTCTAGAGGCCTGCCGATAAGGTTTAAGGTTTACAAATTGTGCGCGCTTTATACAGCGTGCCAAGATGTCCGTGGGGTGCGCCCGGCCGACTCCGATCTGTTTTGTGGGTCGTTTTTGCATGGTGCCTTTTGCGTCCTTGCGCTTCGGGCTTGTGATTGCGGCCAAGTCCCGTGCATGTGCTTGTTGCAAAAATGCACAGCTGCTTTTGGTCCGTTTATGGTGCTGTTGCATAAGCACCCTTACATTTCAGATCGGAATCGCGCTCGCTCGTGAAGCGTGATTACATTCTTGTTCTGTATATATTCGAGCGTCCTCGCATTTTGGCTGGAGTGGTCTTGGAGCGCTCTTGAGGTGGCCCTAGGGAGGGCTAAGATTTGGAGTGCTCTTAGAGCAGTCCTGGACCTTGCTTGAGGTTGCACCGACATGCAGCCATGATCGTATACTTCCAGTGTCTGAAGATGCAGGCTTTCTTGGTGTTCATCTATTTCTCTCATTTTGATGGTTCATGTAGTGCGAGGATGTAAGGTCCCTGAGAAGGCCCAAATAGAGAAGCAGCCTCAGCCCTATCCAGAAAAGGGCTAGAAATTTGGATGACGTGTGATGGCTAGCAGTTTTACGAACCATTTGAGCGGATAGATTTTGTTTGCGCTCGGAGCCCCAAATTCATGACCATCACAGGAGCTGCTCTGTGGCCCGTTGTTGAAAGATCGTGCACGCATTGTGGCCCTGCAGCCTGAGATTGATGCATGGCCGCACTTTTTGGTACTGCTTTGGATGCTTGCGGCTTTGCTAGCGATGCTTCTCGTTCTTCCTGCTGTGCTGTAGCAGCACATCTAGCTGTCTTCGGGCAGTGTTCTTTTTGGAAATCAGTCTTAAAGGAACTCCCGTTAAAGGCAGGGGATGGGAAGGTGAGCCAAGTCAAGAATAAGAGTCTATGCCCGACCTTGGCAGTCTTCGTTGCAACCCAACCCTCAAGTTCCATAGGGCACTATGCAGTCATGTCATCTACACAGCCAATCTCTTTGAAAAACTGCATGGAACCCCCATGCAATCCACATGTACCTTCTGGTTCCGTAAGCAGTGTGTTCCCTGCGAAGAAGCTGCGAGCCTAAGGAGCGCCTCCGAAAGTTTGACCGTGTGTTTGCGCCGAGCTCAGGGATCGTATTGACCGTAGAGTGCGGCCAGCATACGACACTGCACGATACTATGTGCCTTCGGTAGACGCCTGCCTTCTTCATGCCAAGGTTTTGGCTAAAGGCCGCATTGTTGCTTCTGGCAAGCCCAGCGAGGAGGGGACGTTTGCTCATTCGGAATGTTGTCCCATGCGGCAATAACTTTTTAAGAGCCCCTAAAAGGCCACTGGGATGCGGGCAAAATGCTGTGTTGGCTGATGCGCTGTTTGCTGGGGAAAAGGCCTAGTTCCGCTTGCATGTTGAGAGCTGTTGCAGCTCTTGTGATAGTGTAGGATGCAAAGCGCGGTCTTTCTGTAGGCATGCTTGGAGGGAGTTGATGATGGAAAGTGCAGTTTCTAGCTAGGGGATGCACATCGCCCCAAGATGGCATGGAGTGGGAAGCTCAATATTGTTCTGTTTCATGGTACTGTAAAAGGGCGCTTCATTGTTACAACCGGCAAACATGAGACTTGAAGTAGAGAAGTTGCACCCGGGCTGCGAGGTTGCAGAAACAGTGGCGGCCTGAGCACGAGTGAAGCAAGTTGTGATATTTGTGGACGGCAATGTCAGCAGCAGCACATCGTCTTCAGGATGTGCTGTCCAGTGATATTTTGTGGGCATAGGTGCTTAGCCCCTGGGGCTGAGCAGCTCATATTTCGGAAATTCTCAAACATCTTTCAGGAAGAGTTCAAACAGCTCCTCCGCAGCAGTGCGCTGGAGGACCACTCCTGACCCTGTTTTATTGGATTTGTACATCGTCATGATTGAATCTGCCAGCTGATGTGCAGCATGCATGGATGTGCATGCTGGGACAAGAGGTCAGTGTCTAAGTAGGAGCCGCCAGCGTCCAACACTACAGCTTTGCCCAAGCCAGAATTCACATAGTTCGTACATGTTGGTCAGACCACCAGAAGCGCTTAGTCTGCCAAATTTCTGAACGGTTGCCATTCCGACAGAAGTACAAAGCTGCACCAGAGAGCGTACAGAGCATGAACATGCTGACAGACGGTCTACGACAAACCTCTAAATTGAGCAAGCGCGTCTTGCCATCCTTGAAGTTGCAGGCTGGCATAAGCTGCAGATGGCGTTCCCAAAGGAGCTCTGAGTAAGTGCTGCAAGCATATCCTGGCATCCCAAGACATGTAGTTGCAATGGCTACTGCGACGCCCATAGCACTGCATGTTGCTGCCTTGCAGTGGCGGGTGCGCGATGGTGGCATGGGGGTGTTCGCGGAAGCTGCGCTTGAGGAGGGTGCGTTGGTTGAGTGTTGCTATTCCATACCCCTCAAGTCTGTGGATGTTCCTTCTGCCGAGCTGCAGCAGCGGCTGTACGATGTCGGCGATGGCTGCCTGCACTTTCCTTTCGGATGGGGCCTCCTCTATGCCGATGCTTCTGCAGAGAAGGCCAACGTGACCTGGATCCTGGAGGTGAAAGAGTGGAAGGGGGAGTCCATGCATCACCTGTGCTTGCGGACCAGCTGTGCGGTTGCAGCTGGCACTGAGCTTTGCGTTTGCCGAACTGCAGCTTCCACTGCCAAGCTTGATGTGGTGAGCTGGGCTTTGTCCTCCTTTGAAGATCAAGGACTGCAACTGCCCTCGGTGGAGCCAGGCCTGGGTGCAGCAGTAAACCTGCGTGGTACTTGGAGAGAGAAAACTTACCATTGTTATTCTAGGTATTATTGTTATAAACATTACCATTTTGTATTCTTGGTAACTTTTTTTGTTATTATTCTTGTTATTTTTACAAGTTTTTTCAGGCTCAGACTTGGCAAGTGCCACGCTGCAATCCAACCTGTTCTCCGAGAGGGTCAAGGCGGGTAATCAGAATCATCACGCAGTTTGGGTTCCTCTGATGCTTCGGGACAACTCAAGAATGCCCCCAAGTTATCTAAACATAATTCCCCTGAAGTAGATAGAATATGGGGTATATGGGGATCCCACCATAATAAACCCCAAACCCAGATTCTATCTACTTAAGGGGGACTATACATTTGTTACCCCCCAGGTGGAGCCGTCGGGAGTCCATGGCTATGGAGTCTTTGCTGTCCGGGATATCGCGGCCGGGGAGCTGCTGGAGCTGTCTCCGATCCTTTGGCCCAAGGAGGGAAGAGCCATAATGATATAGTCCCCCTTTAGTAGATAGAATATGGGGGGTTATATTAGGGTTATATTGGGATAATGGAAAAGAAAATGGAAACTACTATTTAGGGTTTAGGGTTTAGGGCTATTATAAGGAGGGAAGAGCCATAATGATATAGGGATTACAGGGTATATATAAGGGTTATATAGGGATAATGGAAACTAAAAATGGAAGCTACTATAATGGGTTATACAGGGTATATATTGGGGTTATAGTCCCCCCTTAAGTAGATAGAATATGGCTTTGGGTATATTATAATAAGACCCCCATATACCGCATATCCTATTACTTAAAAGGGGGACTATACTGATAAGAAGAACGGCTAAGGCTGCCCCCAGGGGGCAAGTGCCAAATAACATAGCACGATGCAAAGCTCGCAACAATGACCAAATAGGAGTAAGTGTTTAGTGTGTATGCTAGAATCTGTGACTTGATCATATCTTCCAGAATCATACTAGCGGCGACAAATGTGATGGTTCTGGGAGCCAGAGACACTTGGGAGAGTGCTGGGCGCGCTTTGCCCGTTACGGCGGGAAGGGTTGAGCTGGGCTCAAGAAGCCAAGCAGAACACACGAGTATTACTTGTAGGGGCAGGATGTGGGCAGCCTAGTGCGTTGCCAGTGGAAGTTGGATGCAAGGACGCTGTTTCTGAGTCGGTGGGACTTGGGCAACTGCCTCGCTGACCATCGCTTCAGCGCCCATGGCGACCAGGAGCGTGGAAGGGGTGTCGAAGGGTAATTAGCGGGTTCAAAGCGGGCCTGGAGGAAGGGTAGCGTGAAGGGCAAAGCCATTTCCGGGCTAGTTGCGGGCACTGGCGTGCGCTGGATTGTCAGTCCTCCCTATCGACATCACGTATAAGTCATGTGGCCATGGTGGTGGTACCATGAGTCATGCCCCTGCACAAGCAAAGCAGGTGGTTTGCTCAAAGGCCAAGACATGCCACTGGAACGAACAATCGCCAGGCACTGAGGGCAAGCAGCGCAGTAGAAACACCGAGCATTCAAAATAGATGTGTAACAGCTGTGAGGAGTAGTGACTTGAATGCCCGAGCAGTAGACTCATCGTTCTACTGTACTGGGGATTGTCCGTCATCCCAAGACCAAAAATATCAAGTCTTGCTTCAAAGAGTCCCTCCGTACTCCTATCACTGCCCTGCTCACTTTACAGGAGCCCACAGCCCGCCCCCTGGGCCTGAAGCTTGCGTTGGGCCTGGGAAGCATCTTCAACCACGCGGATGCTCCAAACGTGGAGTTCCGCAGCCTGCCCCAAAGATTATCCTTGTCATGGTTGCAATATGTTGCGATGATGGCTGTTTCTTTTTTGCCGGTCATTTGTAGCTAGTTTGCAGAGGAACTGTGGCTATCACTCCTGATAGTGTTTTTGCTCTGTCAGGCCACGGCCCTCTCACAGGGCTAGAGCGATTTAGGTGGGTCCTCATTTTTGTTGCTGCTTGTGTTGTCCCGATCATTTACTTGGGGTGGTCTGGGTCGACCTTAAAGTCAGAAACGGAGCCGCCACTGGCTACCTGCCCCTGTCAAACCCATAAATGACCTGGTGTTCCTGTCCAGGCCCGGCCAAAGTCGCCGGAACCCGCGCCCTGCAGCTTATGAGCGCCTTGCCGGGACATCTAGCCGTAGCCTCTTATCCGCAGCAACTATACATGACCGGGCGGATAGTT